TCTGTCTGTTTCCTAGTCACCGCCACCGTCTCCATCCCATACAACATCGCAGGCCTAACAACGGTCTTATATACTTTTCCTTTCAACTTAGCCGACAGTTTCCTGTCACACAAAATCCCTGAGGTCCTCTTCCAGCTCAGCCAGGCTGATTGAATTCTGCTTCTTATCTCCTCCTCGCTGCCCCCATCTGCACTCACTACTGACCTGAGGTATTTAAAGTTCTCGACTTTCTTGACAGCTTCTCCTTGCAGGTAGATTGTTCCCTGTTCTGCTCCTTCTGTTGGTAGGTATTCGGTCTTCTTCCTGCTCACCTTCAAACCTGCCCTCTCGAGCGTGTCTCTCCACTGTTCCAGGTCTGTCTGCAGCTCTTCCTTGCTCTCTCTGCACAGCACCACGTCGTCTGCGAAAATCATGTCCCACGGGGCTTCTTTCCTCACTTCTTTCATCAGTACGTCCATGATGATGGCAAAAAGGAACGGACTGAGCACTGATCCCTGATGTAGACCCACTTTTACTTCAAAGTCCTCTGTCAGTCCTGCCGCGCTTCTCACTGCTGTTCTCGCTCCCTCGTACATGTCCTGGATGGCTTCCACATAACATTCGGACACCCTCTCCTGGCGCATACATTCCCACAGTTCTTGTCTCGGGACCCTGTCGTATGCCTTCTCCAGATCAACAAACAGGCAGTGCAACTCCTTCTGGCCTTCTCGCCACTTTTCCATCACCTGCCGCAGTGTGAAGATTGCATCTGTGGTACTTCTTCCTGGCATAAACCCGAACTGCTGGTCACCGATCTCAACTTTGCTCCTCAGTCTTGCTTCTACTACTCGCTCCCACAGCTTCATCGTGTGACTCATCAACTTTATTCCTCTGTAGTTTCCACATTCCTTGGAGTCACCCTTGCCTTTGTAGATAGGTATCAGCACACTTTTCCTCCACTCATCCGGCATCTTCTCTCCTTTCAGCAAGTTGTTCAACAGCTTCGTGAGCCACCCACTACCAACATCTCCCATCGACAGCCAAGCCTCCACTGGTATGTCATCGGGGCCTCTGGCTTTCCCTTTCTTCATCTTCTTCAGCACTGCTTTAACTTCACCTTCAGTGACTTCCTCTACTTCCCTCTCGTTGTTCTTCGCATCTTCTTCTCTCTCTGCTCTCGGATTTTCTTGGTTAAGCAGGTCTTTAAAGTACTCCTTCCATCTTTGCTGCACAGCTTGTCCCTCCACCAAGACTTCTCCATTTTCGCTCTTAACCACCTTCACTTGCTGCACGTCCTGACGTTGTCTGTTTCTCTGCTTGGCTATTCGGTACGCTTCATTCACTCCCTCTTTCGTCTCCAGATGCTCGTACAGATCCTGGAATGCTTCACTCTTTGCTATGGCAACAGCTCTCTTCGCTTCCCTCTTTGTTATCTTGTAATTCTCCTTGCTCCCTTCATCCCTGTTAACCTCCCACTGCTTCTTCACTTCCTTTTTGTTTTCAACCGCCACTTTTACCTCTTCATTCCACCACCACGTTTCTTGATCTTCTCTTCTGCTCTTCCCCGAACCAGTACCGAATGTTTCTCTTGCGACATCTCTGATTGTGTTGGCCACCTCCTCATAGCCTCCATCGCCCTCCATTACTTTACTTTCCAGCACCTTGTCTCTGAAAATGTTTTGCATCTCTTGGTCCCGGAGCTTCCACCATTTTGTGCGAGGCTCCCGCTTTTCAGCTCTTCTCCATTTTGCCCACATGACCAGCCTGCTCACAACCATCCTGTGTTGTTTTGCTACACTTTCTCAAACAATGGCCTTTGTGTCCCACACATCTCTCATTCTCTCTCTTCTCACAAGCACGTAGTCCACTTGCGTGCTTCTTCCTCCGCTGCTGTACGTCACTTTCTGCTTGCTCCTCTTCACAAACATGCTGTTGCTCACCATAAGCTCCCACCTTTTGGCAAAGTCCACAACCATCTGGCCTTCTGCGTTTCTTCTTCCGAACCCGTGCTTTCCCATTACTTCTTCGTCATTTGCGTTACCTTCGCCCACATGGGCATTCAGATCAGCTCCAATCACCAACCTTTCGCATCTTGGTATTTTCTCCACTGTTTCATCCATGTCTGCCCAGAAAGCCTCCTTCTCCTCTTCGTCACATCCCACCTGTGGTGCGTATGCACACACGATGTTGATAAGGATTCCGTTCACCTCCAGCTTCATCGTCATCAATCTGTCTGATATCCTCTCCACCTCTACCACATTGTCCACCAGGTCTCCTCTGACCACGACTCCTACCCCATTTCTCTGTCCATCATCCCCTCTATACCACATCTTGCAGCCTCCTCCAATCACCCTGGCCTTCTCTCCTTTCCACCGGGTCTCTTGGACACAGAGCACATCCACTTTTCTTCTTTCCATGACATCTGCTATCTCTCTGCTCTTTCCTGTCATCGTCCCCACGTTCAGCGTTCCTACTTTCAGTTCCACCTTCTTCGCCTTCCTGTTCGCATGCTTCTCTCTTC